CTTAGGTGTTCAACGAAAGTTATTGTCTGAAGCAGAATCCTTCCATTTTGATATAGTGTCGCCTTTCATATCAGGACTTCTCAAAACCCTTCGCAGGATTTTACTGTAAAGTGAAGTGACTATTTTGAAGGCTGCTAATTTGTGCACAACAATGTCCCACAAACAGCCATGTAGCGAATGATAATTTTTTCTATCGTGGGAATTGTCGGCCAGGATACCAGTAGGAACTCCCTTCCCTTTTTCCGATAGCGCTATATGATCTTTAATATCCACCTGAACAGGCACTCGGGACTTGAGACTTTATAACATCTAATGTGAACTTGTTTCTTACTCAAAGTCAAGCCGATTAAACATTTACCGGGTGCTACACCTTTAATGCATCCCTTCTCCCAGGAACTTCAAACACCTTAAATAATTGAATATAGAGAGAATGTAAAGAAAGTGGTAAATATAAGATTCGGTCCATTAGTGTGTGTGTCTCTGTGTGTGTGTGTCTGTGTGATGCAGCTAGTGTAGTGTGTGTGTGTCCGTGTGTGTGTGTGTGTGTCTGTGTGTGTCTGTGTGTATGTGTCTGTGTTACACAGTTAGTGGAGTGTGTGTGTGTCCGTGTGTGTCCGTGTGTGTGTGTGTGTGATGCAGCTAGTGTAGTGTGTGTGTCTGTCTGTGTGTGTCTGCGTGTGTGTGATGCAACTAGTGTTGGGTGTGTGTGAGTGTGTGTGCGTCTGTGTGTGTGTGTGATGCAGCTAGTGTAGTGTGTGTGTCTGTGTTACACAGTTAGTGGAGTGTGTGTGTGTGTTTGTGTTATACAGTCAGTAGAGTGTGTGTGTTTGTGTTACACAGTCAGTAGAGTGTGTGTGTGTGTGTTACACAGTCAGTAGAGTGTGTGTGTGTGTTTGTGTTACACAGTTAGTGGAGTGTGTGTGTGTGTTTGTGTTACACAGTCAGTAGAGTGTGTGTGTTTGTGTTACACAGTCAGTAGAGTGTGTGTGTGTGTGTTTGTGTTACACAGTTATTGGCGTGTGTGTGTGTTACACAGTCAGTTGAGTGTGCGCGTGTGTTTGTGTTACACAGTTAGTGGAGTGAATGTGTGTGTGTGTGTGTGTGGTGTGTGTACCGAAGTATTCAGAGGGTTGAGTGCATTTGCTCTTTGGTACTTCAGCAAAGCTCTCCAAGACTAAAAGGAATAGTCACTCTTTGGCAATGTTCTGAGCTTCTCATTGCTGTGCAGACATCCTCAAACGATTTCCTTAATCTATTCTAGCAGAAGGAACTCAGAGCGAAAAAGTCTCCTGGGGTTTTCTACAAGATCAGGGGACTATTTCTTATTCAGTTGTTCTGCTTGACTGCATTTGGAATATAAAATGCCTCAGAACACATTTTGGCTTGTGTAATGCAACCCAGTCTGGTACAGAGTGATTTTAACACCATCAACAAACAAGCCCAGTTTGCCGGGTGGGACAGTTAGAATGTCCTGACAGCAGGATGGGCTGTAATGGCAGTGATGTTCTCTGCTCACCCGCTCCCCAATAATAATAATAATAATCCTATTGTTTGGTATAGCGCCTTATCGTGGTAGAAGGATGTCTCAAAGCAATTGACAGGAATTATTGTGGAAGGGAGTGACTGCGTTTGTATTTGTATTTGCATTTTTATACACAACAGCCAAATGCGCACAGCAATGTCCCCACGAACAGCCCTGAAACAAGTGACTAGTTTTATTTGGGGGGATTGTTGGCCGGGACATTGGGACAGAGAGAGAGAGAGAGAGAGAGAGAAAAACTCCCTTCTCTTTTCCAATAGCCCCGCGGGATCTTTAACATCCACCTGAACAGGCAGACGGGACCTCGGTTTAAAGTCTCATCTGAACAACGCAACACCCCCACTAGAACCTCACTGGAGCATCAGCTTAGACTATGTGAGTTACGTCTCTGAACCCACAATCTTCTGACTCAGCGAGTGCACAAAAGCAATCCTAAAATAAGCCGTCCTTCCTCCTCACCTTTGATCATAGCTTTCCGACCGTGTTGCCAGTCATCTGCACGTGTCATGAACCTTGCACACAGCTGAGGAGACATGGAGCTTCGAAAGGAATACTAGAGAAGTGGGGCTGTAAATAACACCAGGTTTTGTTGTAAAAACAAATCAGCCATTATTTATTGTTTTACTGAAGCCCTTTTTAGGTTATTACTGACACTGTCTGGTGTTCCTCAGTCAGCAACTCCCTGATACAGGTCATAAACCAGCCAAATGTACTCAGCCCTCGCCATAGAGAAGCCCTGAATGGATGTGCAAATGCTGTACTCTCCCTCTGATATTGTAAGTTGTACAATAATAATTCCCCGTGCATTTGAAAAAAATGTTGCCTAAAGCATGTTCATTTCTTCTCAACTTCAACCTTTCCCCATAGGATACAAATCATTAAAAGCCTTCATATTCACTCACAACGTGGGGTGTTTAGCTGTATTTGGAGTCCTCAATGCTTGGCTCTTGCCAACCTGCGCCTAAGACTTTCTGGAATTAGGTGAACAGGATGGGAGAGAGAGAGAGAGAGGGGGAGAGAGAGCGCGTTCCATTCCAACAACCTATCTCTGGGATTTCCATATGTCGGTGGGATGTGGGGAAATCTCAGCTTGGTTTGGAGACTCTTAAGCAATTGGGCTGGTTTCCACGTGTGTCAGACTGGGCAAAAAAAAACATATCGACTTACTGCGTAAAGTGGAGAGGATTCCCCGTGGGACAGGCAGCTTCAGGCCGTTGCTTCTGTTATCTGGTGTGAACTTTTCTCAGTGTTACTTTCCACTTTGCTGCGTCCGACAAAATGACAGGTGTCACTGACCCCGACGGGGAAATCAATCCTCAGCTCCCAGTCGCCTCCACCGAGAACCCACCCGATGTGAGAAATTACTGGCGGATTCCAGCCGCAGGTCATTTCCAAACCTCTCCCACCCACCCCACCCACTCCTCCCCACACCCCACCCCTCCCACCCCCCCCCATTTCTATGTTACAATAATACAAAATAATAATCCTTGCATTTGACACAGCGCCATATCACGTCTTCGAGACGTCTCAAAGCGCTGCACAGGATACACTGTAAAGTGAACTGACTGTATTTTTTTGTGGGTGAAATGCTATCGCTCTATGTCTGTGCGTTAACTATCATTATCACAATTTTCCTCCTGTTTTCAGTGTTGACGTAATTAATGCCGATTGATATTTGTCCTTTCGTTGCTATGTGAAGTTCTTTGAAGTGCGAGTCATTGAAGTCTTGTTTAATGGCAATAAAGGTGGCAACACTGTCCCCTACAGAACACACTGCTCATAGCACCCACACGTGAACACGACTGGATCGGTGTATGTAGGTGTGTGTGTGTGTGTGTGTGGGGCGGAGGGCGGGGGACAGGGGGGGAATTCAATTCATGAACTGTGTCTAAACCTATTTAGATTTTATAGCTGGGGGGTAGCGGTGGGGCTAACTGAGAACTATAAGCAGAAAATCAGGGAGAGAAGTCAGAAGGAATTTCTCGCGGGTTTCTGGGATTGCTCAACATTACATAGTAAAATAAGGAATACATGTGAGGATATAACCCTGGGTTTCACAGCGCAGCCTGTGATGTGTCCAGGGGACTGTACGGTTTATAATTTACAAGAGTAATCTTTCTGTCCTGCTTTTTTCTCCGAGAGTTATCTGTACAAATGTCGATCAAACTTGGATCGCATGTTGGCTGCGTGTTAACGGACATCAACAAAGATTCAAACACATTTCAAGGAGCCGATGTGAAATACTAACCGAGACGTTAACGACTATTCACTGCTAGAGAAGTCAGGAAGCAGTCACAGCCGGGCAATATTCTACCCCTCTCTGAGGTGGACTCTTCTCCCGAGGCCGAACAGCTCCCGAGCTTGTCTGACTATTGCTCACAGCTCAGTCCTCTAAACCTGGGGTTCATCCTCATCGCTCTCCTTGTTGCTGTCTCTCCGGCTGTATGATGTGATGACCAGAACAATATACAGTTTCTACGACTTCAACCCTCTGCACTGAGCAGGGCTCCACATTAATACCAGTTACTGAGGAAGTCTGAGGTACCGTTTAATAAATGCAATGTGTCCCAATGAGAAAATTCCGAATGGGAATATCCAACCGTGCGGTTTATTCGACAGCAAAAATAGTTAGAACTTAATCAACAAGTAAAACTTCAATTGAAACATCACTCCGGCCTGAAGTGCAATTTTTTTTGTTTATTCATGAAAGCAAAAAGAGGTTGTAGCATTGGAGATTCAACGGTTAAATGGAGAGTTGTTCTCTCTCTAACCCACCCCTTGTATATAATCAAAACACAAAATACTGCAGATGCTGGAATCTGGAACAAAAACCAGAGAACTGAGAAAACTCCAACCTTCGTCAGAACAGAAAAATATAAAACACATACTGGAGAGAGTGGATCTCATAAGGCGACGAGAGCAGTGATCAGAAGAGCGTTGAGTTTCGCGGAGGTATGTGTGATCCTGGGTGGATTGGAAGCTGGAAGGGTGGAATTTAAGACGAAATCCATGTGGAATTGTTTGCAGTTTAAGACGCAGGGTTGTGGACCCGAAACATTGACTCACTTTCCTTTCTCTATAGATGCTGCCTGACCTGCTGAGTGTTCCCGGCTCTCTCTGGGCTTGTATATAATGTTGGCGGGGCACCTGTTGCCCAGGATTGATGGGATTGAGCTACAATCAAGATGAAAAGTGTATAGTCATTGCAGAATCCGCATGAAAGTGCGAAAGTGCTTGTGGACAGAACAGCCTGTAAAAGGTTTGTGAACAGATGTTCCTAATAAAATAATAAAGGAACTTGCTGGGTTAGATACCTACCTGTAGCTCAGTAGTTAGAGCACTCAGCTCGCAAGCGAAAGGACCCAGGTTCTACTCCCGGGCAGGGCAAAAACTTAAAACAATTTCCTTACTGCACATGCCTGTTTACCTGGCAGTAAATAGGAACCTGGTTGTTAGTCGATTGGCGGATCGCTTTCTGGGCATAATAATCCCTTAAAAGTAATAACAAGAAGAATTTGGTCACTCAATACACGACTGTTTTATTTGTGGGACACTGCTGTGCGCAATTGGCTGCCTCGTTTTGCCCACAAAATAGACAGTCGATTCACTTCAGTGCAGTCCACATGCCAAGTTGTGATTATTATTGTAATAATAATAATATTCATAATAATAATAATGCTTGCCTGTGGAACAGCGCCTTTCTCATGCCAAAGCGATTATAGAGTAAAGTGCAGTGACTGTGTGGTGTGTGGGTGAAAGGGTTGGTTGTTGTTGTTGTCGTCGTCGTCGTTGTCTTCACGTGAACGGAGATCAATCGGGGAAGATGAGGAACCCGCTGAAGAAGCTGTTGGTGTCCTCACTGCCCAGCATGGCGTTGTAGTCTGTGGGCTCCAGCCACACGGTGTCGTTGATGTTCAGGTGCAGAACAGAGCCACCCGAGGTGACCTGCTGGGCGCCCCCACGGTTACAGAAACCCACCTTCTTCTCGCCGTTTTTGATCAGCCCGAGGCACAGGTTGGAGTTGGAGGTGGCGTGATACACAAAGTAATAGTAGCCATTGATGTAGCAAGTGAACTTCCCTGTGGTGTTGTCGTAATGCTGCTGGTCGTTCGAGATGTCTCGGCTGAAGACGATGGGTGTGTCTCGAGGAGGGGACTCATTGCCAGCTCTGCGGGCACTGAATGCAGACTTCAGGGAACTCTTGTGATGTCCCGATTTGCCCACATCTCCTCTCTCTCCAGGGATGCCTGGCTCCCCTTTTGCTCCCTGTTTCCCGCTGTGTCCTCGTTTCCCGGGCTGTCCCACTCTCCCAGCATCTCCCTTCTCTCCCCTCTCACTCTCGCCGGGACCAGCCCCCAAGGAACCTGTTTAATAAGACAAGTGCTGCCAGTTAATTCATATATAAACCAAACTCGACACAAGAGGCAGAAAAACCTACAAGGCAAGAAGTAACGTTTGGAAGCAATGACTTTTTTATGGTCAGCTGAGTGTCTGCCACATGTGGAAACTCATCTCCATTTATTTCGCCAAAGATATACGCAGTCAATTAATTTTACATTATATTCTGTGAAGGGCTTTCAAACATCTCAACGATGTGATAAGGCGCTGTATCAAATGCAAGGATTGTTATGATTATTATTATTATTATTATGAGCCTCCAAACTCAACAAGGGAATGGAATTTCCCTATATCTGGAATGGTAAGAGCACCCTCTCTCCCTGGAGAGATGTCCCCTCCTCACCCAATTCCAGAGAGTATTAGGCGCAGGCAGACACACGACTCCAAGGCTTGGAGCTCCAAAGTGCAAGTTGGGGTAACTGCTTGGAGTTTAACCAGCGAAAACCACACAGCTTGCCCTCGAGGGCACCTTGAATCGCTTTTGGGAACTCCAATGCAAGAACATCTCAAAGTCAGTTAAGACTCACTCCTTCCGCAGATCGTTAAAAATCCAAAGCTGTCAGCTGGCCTGGAGCTGGTTGGTAGCACTCTCGCCTCTGAGTCAGAAGGTTGCAGGTTCAAGCCTTCAAACACATCTGGGCTTTGAGCTCACAGTCTCGGCTGATGCTCCAGTACAGATTAGTTGCTGTGTTTGGCTCCACAACAGTGTTCGATTTATTTTATGCTCACTATTCTCAATTTTGAGGTACTTGGTTTCTTACACGAAAGGTTACTGGGCAGATTAGAGGGGATAGAAGAGGGTATTGATACCTACGGTAGTTACCAATGCAATGCAGCACATGAGACATGAGAGACATTAGGTGATTGCTCTCACACACAAGCTTTCCCAGTCTGACATGGTTACTATGTTCTGCAATGTTCTGCACGGAGCCAGAGGGTGGGACGATGGCGGAGATGGCCCTGCGGTTAGTTATTACCTGGCTTTCCTCTCGGCCCCTTCACACTGTCTCTGCCGTCCCTCCCAGGGTTTCCCGGGATGCCGGGCATTCCCGGGATTCCAGGGACTCCGCTCTCTTCAGCTACTGGAAACATCACAACGCAGAGCAGAGCCAAGCAGACGCTGACCGGATGCATGGCTGTAATCAGTTGGTCCACTCTGAGAGACACAAAAAATACGGATTGTAATACAATACAAAGGTACATTGGCATCGACACTCACGTTGAGATTAATGTTGAGATTGACATTGAGATTGACGTTGACAAAGCGCCTTTCAGGTCAGGAGGATGTTCGAAGGTTCCTGAGAAGGTCCATTGTTTGGAATATTGGACCCGTTGTTCAGATGAGACGTTAAACCGAGGTCCCGTCTGTGCCTTGTCAGGTGGACGTTAAAGATCCCGTGACACAATTGGAAAAGGGGAGTTTCTTTCTCAGTGTCCTGCCCGACAATCCCCCAACATAAAAAAAATCGATCGTTCACCGTTTGCAGGACATCCTCCCGACGTGAAGGGCATTGTGCCAAATATAAGGTTTATTATTATTAATAAGTTACTTTAGATTACATTTGTCTTTCCCAACAGAATACACATCACTACACTTTATAATACAACCTGTGCAGGGCTTTTAGACGTCCTCTCGAGTGAGAGACACTATATCAAATGCCAGGTTTGTTATTATTTTTTAACTAAAGTCATTAAAGTCACAGGAGATCTTTACTTGTGGAGTCCTGTAGCTCAGTGGTTAGAGCACTCGCTTTGCAAGTGAGAGACCTGAGTTCAATTCCAGGCAGAGGGCCAAACCTTGGGCAAGTTTCCTTACTCCACACAGAGCCTAATAATAATCCCTCCAAAACCAAAAACAATAATAAATTGGTCATTTTCAATCTACGACTGTTTGTGGGACATTGCTGTGCGCAATTGGCTGTCGCGTTCGCCCACAAATATACAGTCAATTCACTTTACAGTGTGTTCTGTGAAGCGCTTTGGGACGTCCTCCCGACGTGAAAAGCGCTATATCAAATGCAAGGATTATTATTATTATTATTATACTCCCAAAGGACACATGGCTGCAATGGACCTGTGTGATTGGGATGCCACCTAGAGGTTGCCTGACTCACTCACTGGCTGATATCTCACAGGCAAGGATGGAGGAAGCTGTTGGAAAAATATCTGGAAAATCGGGAGTTTCTTTTCCTTGGATAATCATGCACTGGGGTTGGGGGCTGAGGGGGTCGGTGTTGGGGGGATGGGGCTGAGGGGGAGAGAAATCTGCCCCCAGGTCGAGATTCACTTTATTCTCTTAGCTTTGTTTCAGAACATCCAGACTTTGGGAAAAACCTTGAATACAGCCTGAATAGTGCAGTCTGTTTCTTTCTGTGTGTTTCTCCTCAGATTATTATTGTTGTTATTATTGTTATTTATTGGAATGAGATGAAATGGCGACAATTTCAACCATTTGCTGGGTTCCAGACGACGTGAGAGGTACGAGAATCGGGTCCATCTCGACCTGTTTGGATTTTCTCTCCAGTGGGTGGCGTAAACGGGTTAAAAACTTTTTGTCTCTGGAACCAGTAATGATAATAGTAATAATAATCCTTGTGTTTATATACAGCGCTTTATCACGTCTCTGAGACGTCTTAAAGCGCTTCACAAATCTGGGGTTTAACGACAGACGACTAGAATGGACCTAAACTAATGCATTTTCAGGGTAATACCCTGCCATTCAGCCCTGTGTTGGGATTATTGACCACTTTGACTCCAAGACGATGTGTGGAACACTCGGCTGCCCTCGAATAAAAAGGAACAAGGAAACTGAGAAATAGCGCTTCAATCTTAAATATTCACCTGGGGTGAAAACCGTTCCTCTGTGTGTGTGTGTGTGTGTGTGTGTGTGTGTGTGCGTGTGTCTCCTCACATTGTGTAAAATTGCCAAACACCGCAGGTTACAGTAAAAGGAGTCTACGGTAAAAGCAGGTTAAAATATAATCACTGCAAACAATTGATCCAAAGGCATCGAATCTTGAGCCCTTACCTTTATGTCTCTGCTGATGTAGAGGAGAGAGAAGCGCCGAGAAGCAGTCTTTAAATGGAGTTTCACACAATTCCGAATTTCCTTTGTAAATGCCCGAGCTGCTCGGAGGGGAGGGAGACTCTGGTGATGACAAACTGCTGGCTGCTGTCAGCACAAACTGAAGCACAAACATCTGCCCAGACGTGCATCCAAAGCCAACTTTCACTTCTCTGTTTCGAGCCAATTCTGGTCGTGTGCCAGGAGTTACCAGGAACCTGGATTACGAAGCATTTGTCTCTTGGTTTTGGGTTGAGGATGGAGAGACCCAGTGCAAATCCCAGCTTTAAATTGATTGTGTTCTCATCCTCTCCCCCACATTCCCTCCCCCACTCCCCCCTCCCCTCCCACACCCCCTCCCCCCTACAGTCCCACACCCCCTACAGTCTCACACCCCCTCCCCCCACCCCACACAGTCCCACACTCCCTCCCATACCTCTCTTGATTCCAAACCCCAGGCTCGGGTGTGTTTCGCCCACAAAACACACACAGTCACTACACTTTGCAGTATATTCTGTGAAGCGCTTTGAGACATTTCAAATGCAAGACATGATAAGACGCCATATCAAATACAAGGATTATTATTATTATTATTTATTGGAGTGAGATGAAATGGCGACAACTTGCAATCCTCGCATTTGATGCAGCAGCTCATCACAACATCAAAACATCTCGAAGCGCTTCACAGGATCTTACAGTGAAGTGGAGTGACTGCGTATCTTGAAGGCCAACCCGACAGCCAATTTGCACACAGCGATGTCCCCACAAACAGCGGTGGAACAATTTTATCTGGAAGATTGTTGGCCGAGATTGTTGGTCAACAACATGAGATCCCGAAACACACATTCAGACAAGTTAGCCCAAGGCACAGTTTATTAATTAATGCCAGTGTTAATATGTTGCCATCAATCAACAGTTGTTCCCACTCCACACAGATCAGTACATATATATATACTTACATCCATATATCACCTGTTTAACATACATGTTACATGGTGTTGGTTGCAGTGATGTGTATCAGTCAAACAGAACAAGGCAGAAAGAGACGTGTTTCAAATCGGTGTGGAACATAGATTTATAACATAGCGTTTGTTCATCTACTAAATACACAGATACTATACTTTACAGCAGATCCCGAGGAGCGCTTTGAGACCTCCCCCCCCCCCGGCATGAAAGGCGCTAAATCAAATGCAAAGATTATTATTATTTATTTTGCTCTTGAAAAATCACACCAAGAGCCCAACGCTGGACAATTACGCCCTTTTCAATCACTGTTTCGTACGATCTGTGGAGACCTCGGCTGTTTAACCTGCACGTTCTCAGGCTAAAGCTCTTAGTGCTTTGCTCCCGTGTCTCAGGTAAGTGGGTCAACACAATACAATGTCATTTACATTTCTACAATGCCTTTCAGGTCAGCAGGACGTCTCAAAGCGCTCACCATTGCTGGCTGAGGGTGGGAGCGAAGGGGGTGGAGAGGGGAAAGATGTCCACAGGTTGCGAGATGGACCTTGAATGAGTGTGGGTGGGGAGCGAGTTGGGGGGATTCTGGGATGGTGCTCTGGAGGGCGGGCGCAGGGGGTGCAGCTAAGATTGCCTGCCTGTCGCTGGTGGGGCAGATAGGGCAGGGGGAGGGGAGCGGTGGGGCCGGGGAGGACATGAAGCAGGCCAATATCCACTGAACAAAGTGGTGGGTCAATAGGGTTGAAGGAGTTTGGGGGAAGAAAAGAGGGTGGAGCAAGACTTTGAGTGGGGGGAGGAGGAAGGGGGGAATGAGACTGTGGGGGGTGAAGGTGAGACGGTGGAGACGTTAATCAGGAAACAGGAGAAACCCACTGAAGATGCTGTCGGCTCCGTCCATCCCCATCATCGAGTTGGAGTCTGTGGGTTCGAGCCAAACTTTTTCTCCTACGTTCAGTTTGAGGACGACTCCGCCAGAGCTGACCTGGAAGGTGTCGTGCATGACGTCGCAGAAGCCCGCCACCTTCTTGGACTGCTTCATGATGTTCACACACAGGTTCCCCTTGGAGGTGGAGTGGTAGATGAAGTAGTACAAGCCCGCGATTCTGCAGGTGAACTTGCCCAGACGAAAGTCCTGGTCGAAACTTTGGTCGTCCATCACGTTTTTGTCGAACTTTATCGGTAACTGTCTCCGCGGGTAGGAATTGGTATTCCTGGCTTTTGAGAAGACCGATTTGTGAGTGCTCGTATGGTCTCCCATTTCTCCTTTCTGCCCCTTTGCCCCCCGCTTGCCTCGTTCCCCGCTTGGTCCGAGTTCACCGGGAGGCCCCACCTTGCCAGGCATGCCCTCCAGCCCCCTGCTGCCCTTCTCTCCCTGTCCACCAAGGGCACCACCAAACCAGGAGATACCTGTCAAAGAACGTGAATTGCAGAGTTTAAACCTCGCTAAGTCGTTCAGTGTTGATTACAATGAAAATCCCAGCATTAGATTAAACGCCTATCAAGTCAGGAGGACACCTCAGTGTTTCACAGTATCTACTGTCAAGTGCAGGGAGGGTACTGTACATCGTAGGGCAACATGCACAGTGACGTGCCATGAACATCCATTAAGTGACATGAATGAATACTTTTATTTAGGGGGATTCTCGCCCAGGAGAAACTGCCTTCTCTTATGGAATAGTGTCGTGGGATCTTTGCCCGTTACCTGGGTCTCCTTGAAGCGCGGGGGGTCCATCGAGGCCATCTTTGCCAGGCAGGCCGGGCTTCCCTGGTATTCCCGGCATTCCATGAATGTTCGAGGAGGCCTGACACGTGTCCTGAGCCGTTGCCATCACCACGGACAAGAGCAGCACCGGTCCCACCAGCACCACGTGATATGACATTGTGACCAGACTGCAGGAGAAAATCACATCGGTAGTTTAAAGTTAAAGGCTTCTGGACTCACAATAGATCACAAAATCGATTGGGATGAGGAAGCCCTTCAGCTCACCTGATCTCAATAGTTTACTTTCTAAATCCCAGACAGAATCACACACAGTACAATTGTGTGAGATGTCCCCTCTGAAGACAGCCTTCAAGGTTGAAGTGCCCTATCCTGTCTAATTGTTCCTCACAGGACATCCCATTGCTGCTCCGAGCTCATGACATTGACCTGATAGTCAGTGCGAAACGGCTCCATGGAGGCCAAGGTCAGCAGAGAAGTGGGCAGGTCAATGGCCTTGGGAGGGCTGAGAAGCCACAATGGTCAACAAGGCTGAGACTAGGTGGAAATGTGAGCCTCAGGTCAAGCCGGTGGTTGAGGAACCGACAGACATTCACTGTCTGGGCTCAGACATGGATCAGGCGGGTCAGGCCGGGGCACAGGTGAAACCATACCCTAGCATCTCCCCTCCCCTTCGCCCACCTCGCCTCCCGTCCCCCCACGTCGCCTCCCACCACCCTCTTCACAACAGGAAGGAAAAGAAACCAGTAAAAAGGAAAAAGCGGCGAGGAAAATAAAGAGTTTGAAAGGGAACAGGACAGAAACAATCTGGTGGGAAAAAAAGACCTCAAACAATTGACATTTCTCTCAGCCTCGGCTAGACAGGCATTTCCAACAGGATTTAGATTTCAATTAGAATTCAATTGAATTCCTGTTGTTTTTCCAAATGTTTTATTGCAGAACATCGAAGTCCCTTCGCACACATGCAAAGTTATGAATTATGAAGCTATGAAACAAATATAGCTGCTGTGAATAATGCTACATTCCCCTATCTTTATTACTACAAATGGCAATAAAATAAATCTCCCTGCCCTGCACCCCACCCCCCCCATCCCCCGCCTTCAGTGAACAAAGAGTTAATCAACGCTGGATTTACTCTGGTAAATCTTTAATCATTCACTAATGCGAGGGAATAAATAAACGTGATAGCACGATGCACTGAAATATCTAGACAGAGAAGTTTTCCTAGCTCTTACCTTGAGCTCTTGTCTCAAACCTTATTGCGAGGAAAAGAAGCAGACTTCAGCACGGAGCCCCGTAAACCAGTCCTGTAATATCTTTTTTTTCATGTATTTGAAACGCCACAAAAGGGAGGTTCGTGCAGCTGGCACTCTGAGCCAGCGAGGCCGTAGAGAGCGAGAGTGTGTCCCAAGTCTGAGGTTGCTTTTTGCACCAGTGCCAAGTTTCAGTTCCTTCTTCAGCAGAAGTTACAGCAAAAAATCTAGTCTTCAGTCCATCCTACCATGGCGATCTCAAGGCAAAAGATTCTCACTCTAAACTCGAACTCTAATACAGAGCTGTTCGAAATGAGAATATTGCAACTGCTGATGACAATCCCTGCAATTCATATAACGTCTTATCACGTCGTTGAGACGTCTCAAAGCACTAACAGGATACACTGTAAAGTGTAGTGACTGTGTGTTTGGGCGACAGCCAATTGCACATAGCAACGTCCCCACAAACAGTCGTGGATTGAGTGACCAAATGTTTATTATTTGCTAATAACATTAATGTCCATCTGAAGAGATTTGTTGTTTGTCCATCTGTTTGCTGTTTTTGTGGTGGCCGTGACAGGACGGGTCAAGACTGTTTATCAGTGCCATTGTTTACTGCGCTTGGCAGACCTTCCCGCAACCCCCTCACTTGAGCAACGGCCAATCCTCCTCTCCGGCCCAGAACATCTTATTTATTTAATTTGACAGATTTATAACATTCCCCGCGATTGCTCAACTTTTAATGAAGCCAGAGTGAGCCCAGCACTGAATGTTTATTATTCTGTTTTTCTTCTTGGTAAAGCAAAAAGGGTGAAAACAGAATCTCGGAGGCCATTAGTGACAGCCTGAGGTAGAGCAAAGCGCCCAGTGTTTGACTCGGGACTTCCAATCGTAGAGTCCTGTAGCGTGTTGGTTAGACCACTCGCCTCGCAAGAAGAGGACTCCCTTGTCCTAATGGAAGCCATCTCAGAAGAGAACAGTGGGGAGAGTTGTGGAGAATTTGGATGGGGAACACAAACCTGATGATAGGTTCCTGCAATTACCTTCTCATGGCTGACATCTGAGGTGGGGCCTGATACATTGATGTATTGAGCGAGAGGGACAACCTGACTAGTTATGGCAGTTGCTGCTTTAGGGGTTTGACCATGGGAATGTGCTGAAGGAGGTGCACAGCCCATTCGATCTCGCATGTCTCAGAGGCAGTCAAAGCTTTCCAGCAAGGCTTGCATTCCTTTTCTCCTATAGGATATAAAAGGTGCTTTCAACACAGCCACAACAACAACAAATGACACTTTTATAGCGGCTTTTACATCGGGAGGGTGTCCCAAGGTGCTTTCCAAAGAGAACGGGTTGAACCGCAGACCTCCGAGTGGCCCTGGGAAGAGAGTTCCCAAGTCACCCCGTTTGACCCCTTGTTTATGCAGGAGTTATCGGAGAGAGCTGCCACAAGGGGATTAAACCCGTGATATTTAGACAAGGTTCTAACCCACTAACTGCCCAGTTCCAGAACATCTGCGGACCTCATTTAACTATAACTTATTTTTTTTATTAAAAAGTCACATTTTTTTCACATTTGTAACCATTTAGGCTAATCTGCTCGGGATTTTTGCTCCCAAAATTTTTTGGAAAAAACAAATATATTCTCAGTTATTTATTACCTAAAGTGGTCCAGGAATAGCTTAACCCTCCATTAGCCTTTGGGGGTGGTGGAAGCAATAATAATAATAATCATTGGATTTGATTTAACGTCTTTTCACATTGTTGAGACTTCTCAAAGCCCTTCACAGAATATTTTGTAAAGTGGATTGACTGAATATTTTGCGGGCGAAACACGGCAGCCAATTGTAGACAGCAGTGACCCACAAACAAATCTGGATTGAGTGACTTTTTTTAAGGGATTATCACCCCGAAAAGCGATCCGCCAATCGACTAACAACTGGGTTCCCACTTACTGCTGGGTAACCAGAGGAGTGTGCAGTAAGGAAACTTGCTTAAGGTTTCCCCACACCTGGAAATTGAACCCAGGTCCTCTCGCTTGCGAGGAGAGTGCTCTAACCACTGCGCTATGGGACTCCACAATTGGTGCCTCCAAGCAGAGATGATTGCTTGTTAGAGAGACTGTTTGGAGAGAGTTTAAGACCTATTTCCAATGAACTTCATCCAGGATTTCCCAATAACTGAGGATAATTAGCCATTTGGCTGAATCATATGGAAAATGTAATTGAACCACCAGATTGGCCTTTTGTGTTTCAAGTTAATTCCTGTCTGTTCATATACACGCTCTCGTTCCGGGAACACTTAATTATAATGCCCTGGCTGCGGCCAGAATTCCGAGGAAGACTATTGATTAACTGACCCGTACAAAATACAGTCACAGCCATGTGGCAGAACTGAGCTCCTCTCCATGTTGTCACGTAGAGGCAGCATCAAGCACATCCAGTCACGTACACAAAATCTGTAGAAAAACCTCACTGCCCCCAAACTGTAACCTACCCAATCCCCAAACCCACACCACTGTTGGGTGCCTGGAGATGCCACCCTGGGTGAAGGGGTCTATAAATATGCAAGTTGTTGTATATCTAAACAAATGAGACATAAATTAAATGTTAATTGTATCAGTGGCCTTTATTACACATACAGTTAATAGCAGGAACTTAGATACAGTCTATAAAAAGTTACAGCTGATGGGAGCTGGAGGTTTGTATGACCAGCCTTGTGGGGACAATCTCAGTGAGTGGAGATAGTTACCCAACTGCACCATTGCCAATGACCAGTGAAGGAAATGAAGACAAATCACAAAATGAACTTGACCTAACTCTTTCAAGTTTACTTACCATGAATATTGAAACTTACCATTGGATAAAAATGTAGCATTTCCCGACAAGTGTAGTTATATAACTGCATAAACAGCCATTCTCCCACGGAATAGTCATCGCACTTTAGGGGATATCCCGAGAAGCGCTTTTGGATGTCCGCCTGACGTGAAGGGCACTTTCCGAATGCAAGGATTATTATTATAATTATATCACACATTGTATATTATATTGCAGGCTCTTTGTAATTCTTCCTATTTCCCCATTAATACCCAGCATTTTCTTTTGTCTGTCGCAAAATATTCCTTTCTTGCAAACTGGAAATCCTGCCCTCGAGGGGGCTCGGAGGAGAGGTTTGGGTAGGGAGTGAGGGGTGGGGAGGGGGCGGGAGAGAGAGCAGGTGGGGAAGGGGAGACACAGGGATTACCAAGGGACGGCCTTTGCTTTTGAGACGATTCTGGGCAATTCATAACGGTGACGTATTTCAGCTCAAGACGAACGCGGTTTTCTAACCATCCAGTGAGTGGCTCAAACAGTGATCAGGAGCGCGATCCACAAGAGGGAGAGTGAGGGGGCGAGGCAGAGGGACTCAGCGATAGTTTGTCAGAGAGAGAGGAGGGGAGGGCAGACTCCTGCCTGCCGATGGTGGGGTGGATGGTGGGCGGGGGACGTAAAGCAGGCTGGTGCCCCGTGAATAATAATAATGATCCTTGCATTTGATATAGCGCTTTTCACGTCTTCTAGACGTCTCAAAGCGCTTCACAAAATAGACTGTAAAGTGAATTGACACGGCAGCCAATTGCGCACAGCAGCGCCCCACAAACAGTCGTGGATTGAACATGACCAATTTATTATTGTTTTGCTTTGGAGGGATCATTATAGAAGGAGAAAAGAGAGGGGTTGGTGGGGGTGGGAGGGTGGAATGTACTGCAGCAACACAAACCACAAGCTGATGTTTACATCTGAACACTCAGGGGGGACGTTGCAAAGCATTTCGTGGGATTTACTGTAAAGTCTAGCGGCTGAGTGTTCTGCAAACTAATGATGAAGGTGGACAGCTACAATGCAATACAACTTACATTTACACTGCGCCTTTCGTGTCGGGAAGACCCCGCTGCCTGAGCCGGGTAGGGAGGGAGGGAGGGGTGGGGGCGAAGGGGGTGCTGGGTGGGAGCCAAGGGGAAGGGAAAGGGATGGGGGGGGCAGGGGAGATGGTCAGGGTGGTTGGCGGTGGGGTTCACTGACCAGGAATATAGATGTTTTGTGTCACTATTCATCTGGAAAGAGGAGGAAGCCAGAAAAGACACTGTTACGCTCTTCCGAGCCGTACATCTTGTTTTTATTCTCCTTGACCTGGAGCCAGACCTTGTCTAATTCGCTGAGGTGCAGCACAGTGCCACCAGAGTTCATCTGGTACTTGTTCTGAGAGGAGCTGCTGGTGTCACAGAAGCTGGCGATTGTGTGGCCTTTGGTGTCCGGGTGATGGGACACCTTGATCTGAACGCAGAGATCTCCCACGGCCACTGCGTTGTACGTGAAGTAATACCACCCGCTCTTACAGCAGACAAACTGCCCTGTGTTGACTCTGAAACACCCTCCTTCGTTGGTAATTACTTTGGTGAACTTCACCGAGGATTTGGGCGAAGGGGGATGAGAGGTGACTTTGGCCACGGAGAAGGCAGGTCTCTCACTGCCGTGAAGCCCCCCACCCTCCCCAGATTGTCCTTTCCGCCCCTTCTCTCCGGCTGCTCCAGATTCTCCCAGTAGCCCGGGTAACCCGGCGTAACCTTTGATGCCGGGAATTCCAGCCTTTCCCGGGTCGCCTTGCCTTCCTTTCAGCCCTGGCTGGCCACTCCCAATGCTGGGGGGTAAACCTGTTGAGATAATAACAATAATAATCATTTTTTTTGACCAGCCGGGTGCCTGAATACACGCGCGGATCGGGGTCTCGTGGGCCTGCGGTGAGAGACACTGGCGGTGGCCGGCAATGTCGGGGATGTGGGGAAAAGTGGAACGGGTCATGACAGGAACGTGAGGTGTGAAGGATAGTGGGGGGTCAAACAGAACAGGGAGGTTCCACATTGGCTGAGTGTAGAGGGCAGTCATGAAGAGTGATAGTGTCAGCGCCTGAGGTGAGGAGGTGAAGCCCTTTGACGCAATGAGGCTCTGTATCAAATACAAGGATTATTATTATCATTATTTGTTATTTCTATTTCTCGAGAAGTGCTGGTTGATGTTTACCTGGCTCCCCTCTGTCGCCTTTTTCTCCCTGTCGTCCATTTCTGCCGGGAGATCCTTTCATTCCCAGTAACCCGTCACGGCCGTCAGGGGCCTTGCACTCTGAGTCAGTGGCCGCTCCTGTCACCAGCATCAACAGCAGAGCTGCACACCTCATGGTGTCCCTGTAAGACAATCAGTGACCATCACCGCAGTGACCGACGGCACAAGGAAATCTTGACCGGTTTGACGCAAAGCAACAATCGTCACGCGAAGGGACGGCGGGATGTTTGTTCTCGCACAGGTTAAGGATTCAAATAACTCCGTCAGGGAGAGGGAGTAGATTAGGCTGGAGTACAGCAGAGCCACAGCTCCTTTGGGTGAAGTGACACCAGCCTAAGGTCTGAGAGTTGATGGGCTGAGCAGCCATGTGTCTGTGGGTCTCCTGTCCTGTAACCCAGGCACTAACTTGAGGTACACACAGTAAAAGCGAAGGGAAATCTTACCTTCAACAAGAACGTTTGTGACTGAGAGAGAGAGAGAGAGAGAGAGATGGGCTCCCGGCAGCTGCTCAGTTCCAGCGATGAGGCTTTTGTAAAAAGGGGAAGAGAAACTCGGGAGTCGTACTGGAACTCGATCCTGGTTCCCAATCAGCAGCTCGGACGAGCTGAGCCAAGTGTGTGTGACTCATGGCAGACAAGCTCCGATTCACAGCTTTAGCCCTGAAATTAAAGCAAGTCTCGGGTTCACGGCTGTTAATAATAATTATAATAAGTATAACCTCTGCATTTGCTTAATAATCCTTACATTTGATACAACAACGTTCACACTGAGAGGGCAACAATAACTTAACATTTACACAGCGCTTCATTTAGGGAAACATCTCGGGGTGCTTTACAGGCATGGGGTCGGACACCAAGCAAGGGGGTTTGGGGGTGGGGTGGGTGGAGTTCTGGGGCGTGCTGCGTTGGTTGAGACATTAAAATCGAGGTCCCGTCTTTGCCTGTTTGTGTGGACGTTAAAGATCCAGTTGCATTATTCGAAATTTGAAAAGTGAAGCGAGTTTCTCTCTCACGGTGTCCTGGCCAACAAATCCTCCAAATAAATTTGGCTGTTTGTGGGACATTGCTGTGTGCAACTGGCTGCCACTTTCACCTACAAAGTACAAACAACCCCACAGTATACCGCGCGGAGCACTTTGAGACGTCGCGACAATGTGATAAGGCACTGGATCAAACGAAACACGGTATATGCTTTTAAGGTGGTTTTGAGGGCAGGGAGAGGTCCAGAGAATAGGTCGAACATCAGACACTGATGGAGACACACAAGGAATACAAGGACAGGTATATGGACAAGCGTGACACCAGACTGGAGGAAGGAATAGCACAGGCAGGAGAATAGGGCTGTAGACTGAAGTAGGCACTTTGTGAAGCTTTGCTATTAAGGACTGGTCTGGCACATTTAATGACAGATTTTGGGAGAATTTCCTTTCTGCTTGTAGTTCTTCTATTTACACGGATAACGACTGTAGAATTTCCCAGTAAATTAAGAACACTTATATGTTCGTTGCTGATCTCAGTGAGGCTGCTTGAGTCTGGAAGTCTGGAACTCTGGCACTCGTCTTAGCTTGTGTTACAGCACCTCCTAAGGGGGGGAATGTGATAAAACTCTGTAACAGACGCAAGGATTATTATTAGCTGTAGATGGCACTCTGATATTAACAATCAGCAGAGGAAATATCCAACCCACAGAGTCCAGAGCTTCAGGACAAACGGGAGACTCCGTGGAAATTATTGTCTCAAAAATCGGTGAAAGTAACTGACAACAACAACAAGATTCCATTTATTGAGCGCCTTTCACGTCGGGAGGACGTCCCAAGGCGCTGAACTGACGTCACTTTACCCAAAAGATGCAAGTTACAATTCCACAAGACGGCACTCAAAGGACAAAGAATCATTCTCCGCACTCACCTCCAGGCAGAGTCGATGTGAATTGCCAACTAATAAACTCAGACCCTGATTTAAGACCGTTCTCAAATCTTACACATCAACAGTTATTTGCAGATCACTCAAGACCTTTAAAGTTGTAATCCTTTGAAGTCTTCAGACCAATTTTAATAAACTGCATTCCTCCTCCCTCCCTCTGACCCCCACCCACTCCCACACGCTTATCAATGGAACCAACAGATCAAAGTGTTTGTGTAGATAGCTGATAGCATCTTTTAATCATCTCAGCTTCAAGACCATCTTGTAACCCTGGCCCCAAACTTCCCAGAGTTCATGCTGTGCCTCTGGATGTAAAGTTATAATAATAATAATAATCCTTGCATTCGATATCACGTCTCAAAGCGCTTCCCACAATATATTGCAAAGTGAATCAGGCAAAATACGGTAGCCAATTGCGCACAGCAGCGTCCCACAAACAGCCATGGATTGAATGACCAATTATTATCATTGTTTTTGGAGGGATTATTACCCCGGAAAGCGATCCGCCAATCGACAAACAACCGGGTTCCTACTTACTGCCGGCAACCAGAGGCGCTTGGAGTAAGGAAACTTTCCTAAGGGTTTGCCCTGACTGGAAATCGAACGCACATCCTCTGGCTTGCGAGGCAAACGCTCTAGTCGATACACTATGGGACTCCTGGCAGTGATATCAGGTGATATAATAGCACTAATCCTTGCATTTGAAACATGTCTCACAGAATTTGCTGCAAAGTGTTGTAACTGTGCATTTTGTAGGTGAACACAGCAGCTAATTTGCACACAGCAAAGTCCCACAAAATCATGAAGTGAATGACTAATTTGGGTCAGAGGGAAACTCCTTTCTTTTTTCAAATCGCACCACGGGATCTTTGGCGCTCACCTGAGCTGGTCAGACATTAACCACGAAACTCAGGTCCCCTCTAAAGTACCTCTGCCTCGTCACCTGGGACCTGGTTGAGTGATGGAGAGAGAGAGCCACAGATTTTTGGTGTTTAAGTCAAAAGCTACATTTTGAAGCTCTTCCCCCCAAAAAATAGTCCACCTTACATCTTCCTTCTCACAGCTGTGAAGAATGGCTTTGTAGGACTAATCCAGTTGGCAATAATAAAGCGATATGAATATTGACAATGCTGTGGAGAGAAATCTTTCCTGATGTTTCGGCCTCTGCGTCAGTAATAAAATGATAATATCTTCCTCACACATTATATACAGGAGCACGGCTGGGACTACAGCTCAAAGGCCGCAATGGAAATGGTGTCCTTCGGAGGCTACTGTCAACCTTGGGACATTGTGATACAGGACGTCCTCTGTCACTGCAGCTGGACGCAAAGCATGGGCTCAGCCCAATGTTAAGGAATAAGTCGTCAACTGCTGTTGCAGAGACCCTCTAGTCTGCTCACACTCAGCCACCACTATTCCACACACACACGCACACTCTACACTATTCTATTCTTCCCAGCTGTATAAAGATTCTTCCTACTCTGCTCCCATCAATCCTGCAAGCCAAAGCCCTTACGGGCAGGATGGTCCCAGCTGGACAAGCAGTGGGAAAGCTTGACAGACAGTGGTATCAATGGCAAGCTATACGGTTTCAGCGCGTTCAACTCCAACAGTTACCCCGACATACACTCTGAGTCCCCCCAAAGCCTTGGCTCTTGCCAACATGCGCCTAATACTTTCTGGAATTAGGTAAACAGGCTGTGACCCTCCAGGGAAAGAGAGAGAGAGAGAGAGAGTGCATCCCATTCCAACAATCTATCTCTGGGATTTCCACGTGTGTCAAACACCCGGCTGACTCCAAAAAAAATCAGCCAAACCTCGTGCCCTTGTTTAAAGAATCGTTCACAGTTCTGGACCATCAAAGATCCTAAAGACAAGAAACCGCTCCACGGGCTGAGACCGAGTGGAACTTGCAAACCTGTTCAGATGTGCGGCATTTCGCACAGAGGCAGACAATCCAGTGTCGGTACAAGGCAGCCGAGTGGAGTCAGGGCTTTGTATTATACTGTTTGGATTTGGTTGATTTCAGTTCAAGGCTACTTGCTATTCCCCTGGGATTTCTTACATACACACATCAAAGTGGCCCTGACGCCTGACAGACAGCAAGGATGCTTCCAGCTAATCCTATTCACGGGACATCTTCATTAACCTCGTCCTGTTTCATGCTGTTCCCTGGCATTCCCTCCCCCAACACTTCCCTTCCCCGAGTCCTTCAACTCTCAGACAGCTCCTTGTCACTCAGACCCGCAATTCAAAAGCTCCCGGTTCCCCTCACACTGTCAGGCTCTGAGCCTCTGTCGGCTGGTGTTTTGCTGGTTTGACGGGTGCTGTCTGTCTGCTCGTGAGACTCGGGAAGTGCCGAGTGTTGAGACGTCTCAATTTTATCTGTTTGTAAAAACGAAAAGGCAGCGTCCCCCGCTGCTCAATAACCGTAGCGACTGGCCAGCAGGGGTCTCGGCCACCCTCCCCATCGCCAAGGGTAAGTCGCGATGCCTCCACTCACTCCCTCCCTCCAGTCCCTCCCTCCATCCACTCCCTCATCTCTCTCTCTCCACTCCCTCCCTCCATTCACTCCCTCCCTCCCACCACTCCCTCCCTCCCTCCACTCTCTCCCTCCACTCCCTCCCTACTTCCATCCACTCCCTCCCTCCACTCCCTCCCTCCTCGGCGTCAGGCTCCGCCCTGTGAAGCGCTCTGAGACGCCGCCCCACGTGAATGGCGCTAAATACATGCAAATTGTGGTTGTTATTGATTACAAATCCTTTCACTTGTTACGCTGCCTTTCATGCTGGGAGGATGTCTCAAGGCACTGGGCAGGATGTGCTATAAAGTGTTGTGACTGTCTATATCGTATTTCATTTGTAAATAATTTGGTCACTTCAACCCATGGCTGTTTGTGGGGACGCTGCTGTGCGCAATTGGCTTCTGCGTTTCGCCCACAAAATACATGCAGTCGATTCACTTTACAGCATATTCCGAGAAGCGCTTTAAGACGTCTTGAAGACGTGACAAGGCGCTGTATCAAATGCGAGGATTATTTCATCCCCTTCACCCACAGGCCTGTCAGTCAGCAGCAGTAAACCAGCGCGTCTCGCGGTGTAACAGTGTTGGGGCCACCTGGCCTGAAAAGTATAAGAAATGCTGGACCAAGAAAGACCAAGGCCCAACCAGTTCACCTTCCACCTTCCTGGCCGTCGCCTGCACATCTATCCCGAACCACCTCTCAATGGCAAGTCTCATTTTCCAAATGTTCTTTTAACGTTCTGCTTCTCTGGGTAACTGAACCGCGTCCTTGAAGGTCAAAGCGTGCTCTTCAGCGAGATCCTCTCCTTTAGTGTAGTGTTGACAGGTAAGTGCAGCCAAACATAACCAAACTGATTACGGAGTAGCCCCAGAGAGTAACAGTTTGGCTGAGGTTGGATAATAGGATTTCTGCATTGCTGCTCTGTCAGATAACCAGCGATTGGACATGGCTGGGTGGATCAAAGGTACAGGTGTACAGACAGCACAGCCTCCTGAGGGGTAGGGAGACGAGATTTGAATTTGAAACTCTGAGAGAACGCAATTAAAATGATAACATCCATTATCAGGTGAGTACCTTTCATCCCCACCCCCCCC